TTGAAAAGTGTAAGTGAAAGTTTCCAATATAAAGTGAAAAAGAATCTACAAAAGACATGTTTGAAACTGTTTGCTATATGGATAATTATGACTGGAGGATAAGGGCAACAAAACATAATACTACTGATACATTTCAAGTGGTTAAATTATCATAGAAACACATTTGCTCAAACACACAGCTACGTCTCCATCACCGACAAGCCAACAAAAGGGTATTGGGTCACTTCTTGAAGGGTGTATTAACTGATAGTACATGTAATATGTTTTGGGGAAGACAGATACAATGAACTTTAAATGACTATCTGTGTGTACTTTCACACTGGCAAACATAAAATGCTAAAATGTATGCTCTAATTAAGAGCGACCCCTAAAGAAAGCTTTCAAAGACTACATTTATATTGTTACAACTTGGAGAAGAAGAATCCAGGGACGGTTACACATATAAAGACGAGTGATGACAATAAATTTAAATACTTTTTCATGGCTATCGGTTGCGCTATAATATTTTTTTATATACTAACTTCTATATTTTTAATTTCCATACACGTGTGTTCGCTTTAATTAGATTATTAATTACTTTTTAGCAGTAGGCATAGATGGTAATAACCAAATCCTCTTTATTGCATTTGATGTTCAGAAAACTGAAAGTGGAGAGTCATGGACTTGGTTTTTATCAATACTCAAAGAATATATTGGGGGCATGCCATCTATAGAGCCAATTCAATTAAAATGTTCATTCAAGCCGTGTTCCCAAATGCACATCACAGACTCTGTTGTCACCATTTTTTGATGAATATGAGAACAAAGATAAGCAAGCAATAGAGAACATAGATTTTGTTTTGGGAGGCTGCAAAGGCTTATCGAGAGTCTGATTTCAAAGAAATCTTAGGTAGGCTACGTCGTGCACTAAACGATGATTGTCGTACATGACTAGATAGAATCGGTAATGAGAGATGTGTAAGGTCATGTTTCCCTGTGGTTCGGTACAATACTATGACATCAAACAGTGTTGGGTCCGTCAATACATTATCATGAGAGGCACAAAAACTACTAATAACAATGTTGATTGATTTCTTCGAGCAACTATGCAACAATGGTGGTGTCAGCGACGTAATGATGGAGTTAAGTGTTTTCCTATATAGTAATACTTTCATGATAATTTTAGTGTACTTTATTGTGCATGACAACATATACATAAATGTTTTTTATAGCCAAAAGAAAACAAGATGTTACTGAGTATGCTAAAGGGAGGATCAACAATTCCTTAGCTTTTCGGGTATACCAAATAAACAAATTATGATTTTTATAACAATTTATGATGTAGTATAAATGTATAAGTACATATAATCCTATAATTTACTTAACACAAATAAAATTTACAGAAAATCCTGTAATACATATATAATTGCATAAACTAAACATGTTTAATGTATAATCTAAAATAAATTCATAATTATAAACATATTTAAAACTTACATATAAAAATTGCATTTATTCATTGCTATCAGAAGACATTTTTAATTTTAGTGGTGTCTGGAATGGGATGTAGGGTAAGCTGAAACAAATGAGAAAATATAGTCCAAAACGAGTTAAAGGGTATTTATAAGAAAACCAAGTTGGAATTATTTACCTGTTTATGGAATATTAAATCAGGTCTGGAATGGGGCATTCCGGACCAATTGATCATTTTGCAAAAAAAAAAATGTTATATTTAAAATAAAATAAAATAAACAACCAAAAAAGGGTTAGGTTACTCAATTTCCCAAAAAAAAGTTATTTGGGCCTAAGTACTCAGTCTAAACTATTTCGATCTTCAAATTTCAAACTTAGTTTTATTTTCCTAATTGAGCTTTGAGCTTCATGCTGAATAAGGCCTTTTGCGGACCAATCTCTCACATAATGTTTGGTTGCTTCTTTCTAATCAAATCTATAAATAAGATAGTGTAGCTTAAAGTAGATCTGCACAACGGAAACAGACTCTAGAAAAAGCCACAAGTCGAATCTATGATCGACAAGTCTTAAGCATAAACATGTATCGAGAGAAAGGCCGAACCACCAAGAATCTCTAGATCCACTAGGAGTCAAGGTAAAGAGACGATAAACCAAATTGGTGAGATTGCTGGATAGATCTACCGAATTAAAGTCAATAGTCCAGTCCCATTAAAATCTGACATCATTGATTTGATCGGCAACACGACATTTCCTTCTACACTCGATCTTATAGAGAGTTTGGAATTGGTTCTTAATTGTGCCTCCTTCCACGAATCGTCCATCTAGAAGAGGGTGTCATCCCCTAAGCACATCTCCCTTTTTAGAATGTTAGCAAAACAAAGCCTAACTTCTTGGATGTCATATTTTGCCCTAGAGATATTATTCCACACATCGGAGATAGATTTCCTATAAAGATAATCAGCTGGGTTATCGGTCAAGTAGTGGATGCCACTAATAACTTGACTCCATAGTGCATTTCTTATCTGTCTTCAACCACCGCCACTACTTTGTTAATAGGGAAACATCGAGGGAATGCAATGCACCCATTTCGAGCCCGCCTATCCTTATTATCGATTACATGCTTCCAAGAAACTCAATTAATTTTTTATTTAACCTCATCCCCACCCCCAAAAACGACTCGTAATACTTTCAAGATTATCAAGAACACAAGCAGGAGCTTTATAGAGAGAGAAAGAGAGAAAGAGAGAGAGAGAGAGAGAGAGAGAGAAAAAAAAAAAAATAGGTGTGAATGTTTCCTAGAACTGCCTTGATCAATGTTAATGGGCCCCAAAACGCCAATGTTCTAGACTTCCAATTATACAACGTAGATTTGAACTGCTCAGTGACCGACCTCTAATGTTTTTTATTAGATTCATGTTTGATCCGACAGCCACATCGAGATAATTAAAGGGGAGATTACTAGCTTCACAACCAGGAAGGTTAGCCCAGTTGCTTATTTCGGTAGTGGTAGCCCCGATTCCAAAGACCCTATACTTATTGAAATTCACCTTCAAACCTAGTGAGATGTGAAAGCACTTTAACATACGAACGAGGATTTTAAGATTGTATCTAGACTACTCCCCAACAAATAATGCATTATCCGCATAGAATAGATGAGACAATAAGGGTCCATTGCCGAGAATTTTAATGCCTTTGAACAACCCTTTATTGCACACAACCTTCTTAGTGACATTTAATCCCTCCATGGCAATTATGAAGAGGAACAGAGACAACAGATCACCCTAACCCTAATGAACGCACCTACGAAAGTCAAATTTGTATGTTGGAGACCCATTGACAATAACAGAACCTCAGGATGAAAAGAGACACCCTCTAATCCACCACCTCTACTTAATACCAAATCTCATTTGTGATAGAACAAACAGTTGAGAGAATCGAAGGCTTTATCGAAATCTACCTTAAATAGTAGAATTTTTTCTTTCATCGATTTGGCCCAAGAGCATACCTCATTGGTAGTTAGAGGTGTGTCTAATATATTGCGACCTTCCACATAAGTAGACTGAGATTCCACAATGACAATATCGAATAAAGCTTTAACCTTGGCTAGAATTTTATACAACGCTTCAATTAAACTGATAGGGAGGTAGTCACTAAGGAAGACAGGATTTATTACTTTGTCTACTAAGTTGATGAATAACATGTTGCAACCTTTGGCTAAAGTATCGTGAGCTTCAAAGTGTTTAACCACATCCATGACATCAAAATGAATCAAATCCCACTAGGTCCTAAAGAACTTAAGGCTATGTTTGGCGCGCCACAGCTAGCTGATAAGCTAGCTTATTTTTTGAGCTTTTTTATGTTGTCGTGTTTAGTAAGTCAAAAAGTAGCTTATAAGCTAGCTTTTTGAGAAGCTAGTTAGACTATGTTTTTAGGAGCTTTTTTAAAAAATTTCAAATACACCTCTTAATTAATTATAGAAACACATATTCTTACATGTCATATTATGTAATTTTATGAGTGTATTTCAGCTAGTTTTACCAAACGTTATTTTTTATCAGCTATCAGCTAGCTTTTTATTTAACAGGTAGCTTTTCAGCTAGTACGTCAAACATAGCATAAATGTAAATCCATCGGGTCCCAGCCTCCCAGGGCCATTTGGGTATTCCGCTTTTTGCTCCATATTTTAATTATCTTAATTATCAAAGAAAAAGTTGTAAAGCATATTAATTATTTTAATATAATATATATATATATATATATATATATATATATATATATATATATATATATATATATATATATCTTACTATTCTAATAAATGAATATGTTTAATATCCTATTGACAAGTGGTATTATATTAGAACTACTCATTAAAATTATATTTTCCATATCACGTCACTTGTCAATATATTAATTATTCATTTCAAAATTCAAAATTTAAATTCTCACCCTAATTACATTAAATTTTAAATTTCAAATTTCAAAATTTTTCATTTTAATTATATTAAATTTATCATATTAGATTAAAAAATAAAATAAAATTAATACAGATTACATTATAATATAATATAACTTCATGTACTTATCTAAATCAACGATTATAATTTTATATAACTAAAAAAATATTTTTAAGTAATAATTTATTTAAAATAATTGATTAATAATTTTGATTTTTTAATATAAAATTTTAATTAATTTTATAACCGTGGTTCTCATGAATTATAAACTAATATATATATATATATATATATATATATATATATATATATATATAATATATATATATATATATATATATATATATATATATATATATATACTAATATATATATATATATATATATATATATATATATATATATATATATATATATATATATATATATAATATATATATATATATATATATATATAACGATTTGGGTATTCCGCTTTGCTTTGATCTCCAAGTTGTATCAATATAAGGAATCATTACCCCTTTTAAAACCAATCAAAATTATATATAGAGATAGAGATAATCTTCACGCTTCTCATTCTAAAACCCTACAAACCAAAGTTCCAAAAGTCCAAATCGTGTTTACTCCATCAAGAATTCAAGAGAAAATTCTGCTTTGGTCCTCTTTTTCGGCGTAATATACTTGAAGCAAGAAGCATGGCAGCCATGGAAGCAATTCACGTAAGTATTTCCGAATTCTGAATTTGATTTGTATGCATGTTTGTTTGCTGGGTTTTTTTTTTTCTTACTTTATTAGCCACGTAAGTTGAACTTGATTTGTATGCATGTTTTTTCGTCTCAATTACAAGTTCCTTAATTGATTAAAGAGGACAAACATATTCTGGTTCTTTTTTTAATAGCATAATGCCTTCTTCCTTATCGATTTTGCAGCAGCAGGAGGAGTTATGGAAGCAGGTCTTCCTTGTTTGGACAACAGAGGTATGTGGCACCGATTATCCATGTTAGTCTTTTCACATTGTTTGTTTACGGTAACTCATCGGGTTTGACCTAATGTTGATGACAATAGGGTGAGCTTGAATTGCTTTCTGAATACAGATGGAGTTTCTCAAATCTTGATGTGAGTTACATTGTACTTTAGTGCTCTCCTCATCCTCATCATATATATAAAATATTTGATTCATATTTCTCAAAGTCGATTGCATTGAGAAGATAAATGTAGGATCGAATTCGTTATAACTTATAAGTAGAATTAACCATGTTTTAAATGCTTCCAAGGTGCATTTAAAGAGGGTGGCGTATTACATGGGAAGACAGTCTACCTCTTCACTTCTACAGAGCGTTTTGGTGATGGGTGATGGGTGGAAATTAACCGACATACCTGCAGTCACTTCTAAGTAGTAAACGAAGCTCATATTTCAAGATTTCTAAAACCTCATGAACCCTACAACTTTTACTGTTTTTTTTTTCTTTTTTGGAGTCTTTTGCAGCACAATTGCTCCGTTTTGGTGATGGGTGGAAATTAACCGACATACCTGCAGTCATTGCAGTAAGAGTAACATGTTTCTTTTTTCTTTTTCCTTTTAAAATATGTATGTTTAGTTAGCTTTTAATTCCACTATATATTGAGAACAGGTTGTATCTCCATTTCCACCTTCTGATAAGATTGGAATTGCGCTCTATACAAATGGGGTATGAAGAAATCCTTGACACGAAAGATATGAATATGGATTGGGTCCCATATATTCCATTGGGGAAACGGTAGTGAATATCTTTTTTTTACCAATTATTTAATGTTCATTTTTGTTGGTAGGTTAAGATTCCATTTTGGCATTTCCATTTCCACAAAAGTAACTTTGATCTTTATATTAATTTGTTCATCCACTGGATGATGAGAATATTAAGTATTTGATTTCGGGTCATATTTCTGATTTCTACTAGGTTGAGTAAATGTAAATATTACTCTTGCTCTTCCATGTTTTATCTTCAAAAAATGTTGCTGACTATACTATCCGATTTTGATTTCGATTTGAAGCAGGTATGGGTTAAAACATTTGAATCCGAAGAAATTTGAATGCTGCTTACCATGTAAATGAATATATATATATATATATATATATATATATATATATATATATATATATATATATATATATATATATATATATATATATATATATATATATATATATATAATTAACAAGTTTTTAAAAAATTCCACATGAAGAGTTTGTTTTGGTAAAAGCTTGGATTGATTTTTCTAAAGATTCGATTCATGGAAACGCACAACCGGGAGACCATTTTTGGTATCGCATTTTATAACGGTTTCGAGAGTAGCTAGAAAAAGGTGATGACTATCGTACGAAACATCAACTGAATTCGAAGTTTCAAGAAATAGCAAAGGGGGGTTCAAAAATAAACGGGTTGTACAACCTAAAAACCCAACGAAAAAGCGGCCAAGGCAATGAACAAATACTTCAAGAAGCTTTGCAATTTTATCTTGAGAAAGTCGGAAAACCATTCAAGTGGCACGATTGTTGGAAATTATTGGTCTGATGTCCTAGGTGGAAAAAATACATGCAATATTTTATTTTTGGAGTCCAACAATCAAAGCGAACGAAAACGGACTCTAGTGGTTACACAACTTCCTTCGATACTCGGGTCGGTCTAGATTTAAATCAGAACGACGAACTCGAGCTAGAAGAAATTGTCCGTCCAATGGGTAGGGACAAAGCAAAGAGAAATGGTAAAGGGACATCTTCGAGTGCATCGGATTTCAGCATGGACGTTGATGAAATACGGAAAATAACGTCGTTTGATTGATATAATCTTAATTTCTCTGAACGTTTGGCGTTCAACAAAGAAAAATGAGTGGGCAGAGAGACAAGAAATGGAGGATATGAAGTTTTTGATGAAAAACACCGATCATCTCTCGGGACCGGCTCTCGAGCTCATGATGAAGAAGACGGAAAAAAATTCTGAAAAAATATTTTCCGTAGGTCATTGTTGGTTTGTTTGATTTTTAGTTTGTGTGTGTGTGGATTTTTTTTTTAAGTTTCTAGTTTTTTAAATTTTAGGTTTATTGTAAATTTTATTTTAATTAATGAAATGAAATTTCTTTTTAATTAAAATTTTTGGTTAGTTTTAATTTAAAAATTATAAATTATAAAATCAATTCATTTTTTTTTTTAATAATGAGGGAAGTCATTCCCACTCATTTTTTGGATTTTAGGTGAGGAAAATAAAAGCGAAAAAGAATAATATGCCTACGAAAAATAAGGAAAACTTCTCTCTCATATCCTCCGATCTAAATTTTATCTAAATTTTATCTTGTTGCCACGCTGACGCCCCAGATATCTCAACATTCAAGGTGACTTTGATATATATATATATATATATATATATATATATATATATATATATATATATATATTCTTTAAAGTTATCAGAAAATACATATAATACATCATGTCTACGTAAGCTTATGTTTATCACGTGTTTGTGTGTTTTCCTTGCAGTCTCCATTCATTAACCGGTACTATGGAAGTGCACATCATCTACTTTTACTAAAATTCCAAGCGTACAAATGTTTTGTTTTCTAGCATTTGATTATGAAGCATTTTATGAAGCAATGCTTCTAAGGTCTAACTAAAGTATGTAAAATTGTTCACGTTCGCATCTCTATAAAAATATATGAACAAGTTTTGAAATGTGTAATGCTTCTTCCCTCGCTTTGCTTTTAAACCTAGCTATAAAACTTTCTCCTGTCTTCTACTAGTGTGCCTTATAGAATTTCACCATTCTCAAATATATGTCATCCATAACTCTTTTTTGGGATCAATTACACTTATACCACCATTTGAACTAAAGGATATATCTTTTCCTTCAAAGCTATTTTAGATCAAGTGTTTTTCATAACACAAACTATCATAACCTTCTGTCACAAACACCTAACATTAATTAATACACATGTCAGATAACATATTGTACTACTTTTGTCATACATTAGAACTTGCAATCATTTGTCTATGCAAAAAGACATTAGTGCCCTAGCATTTATTCAACATTAAAACCATCCAAAAAGTACTAGTTCCGTTCCATGCAACCTAAAAGTTGCATCAAGTGTTTGTACCATAAAATCACTTTTTCTAAAAGGTTTACGCTACCACAAATGTCTTGTGAGGCTCAAATTTAAAAAAATAAAATGATAAAAGTCAAAAGTCAAAGATCTTTTTTTCATACAAATATAAAAAACTATCAAATAGTATATATATTTACCTTAACTTGAACCTCATGTGACGTAAAATGAATTAGACAAATATTATATATACTCTAGATCTCAAATCTCTTCTTCTTCATTCAACTCATCTCTCATCAACAATGTTGACTCTTTGACCTTTGCATTAATATACGTGAAAATTGCAAGGTTTTTTTTTTTTTTTTTTGAGCTAATATGACATCTCATACGCCTCATGATCCGGTGTTTTGTATATGAATCCTGAGTCATCACTTGATCGCCTTTTTACCACACTTGCCCTTTGCATAAGCCGAACCAATGCTTGCACAACTTCAGACATTGGAGGCCTGAACTCCGGTTCGGGCTGTGTGTAAAGTGAAGGGTATTTTAGACATTTGATAAATAGTCAGACATCGTGTTTATGTTTTTCTTTCTTCAAGTGTATTTTAGATACCCGACAAATAGTCAAAAACATCATGTGTTACTTTTCTTGAAGGGTATTTTAGATATTTGGCAAACAATTATATACATCCTTGAAGGGTATTTTAGACATTTTGAGAAGAATTTTAATTTTTACCTGGACACAAAGGGCGATGATGTCAGCAAATCGAGACAAAGATTTGGCAGGATACATGCCATTCAATGTAGGATCAACCATTTTGGCTAAAGAATCGATATCATGGAGTTGAGGGGTGGCCCACCTTACAAGTGATTGTTCAGATCTTGCTCTTGAACTACAATTTGATTATCATTTACAATTTATAAATCATTTATAAATAAATAAAATCTAGAATAAAGAAATCATTTTGAGTGTTTTTTTTTACCTATCCAATGGCTTTCGACCAGTTAAAATCTCCAACATTACCACTCCAAAGCTATAAACATCACTTTTTACAGTGTATATGCCAGACAATGCAAATTCGGGAGCACTGTAACCAAATGACCCAACCAACTGTGTTGCTACCTGAAAATGACCGTTTTACCCTTCTCTTTAGAACACCAACAACAAGCAACTTGAACAATTTAAATGTTGGTTTGTTTGGATAAAGTGTTGTATACACAAGGTCTGTTTCCTTTTGGGACCAACATGTGTGTATGTGAGTAAATGACCATTTAACCCTTCTGTTCAGAACACCAACAAAAAAAGCATATAACATGAAACTCATTACCTCTCGCTCTGTGTTTGGTGTAAGGGCAGCTAAACCACAGTCTGACAAATGAGGATTAAGCTCTTCATCGAGTAAAATATTTGCAGACTTTAAGTTTCTATGAACAACAGAAGGAAGACAAACTTCATGCAAATACCTACAAAAAGGGCATCCATTAAATCCAAAAAAGAAAATATAAAAAAAAGTTAATATTATTTTATGACATACTCTAGAGCTCTAGCAGTGCCAAGTGCAACCCTAACACGTGCATTCCATGTCAAAGTTTTGGTCCTATCATCAAGAAAATGGAGTAAATCTTGTAAGCTTCCATTTGCAATGTATTCATAAACCAAAAGGCGTTGACCATGTTCAGCACAATATCCAGCTAATGGAACTATGTTTGGATGCCTTAAACGTGACATATTTGAAACAGCTTCAACAAAATTATCTTCTTCTTGAAGTGATAATGCTGCATTATCTATCTTTTTAACTGCCATCATCTACAAAATCACAAACTTTTATCATTTTCATGGGAATCAGAGGAAAGTAATAATACACATGTTTTATAAAAAAAAAAAAAAAAAAATTTACCTTTCCATTTGGGAAATCTGCTTTGTAAACACGCCCTAAAGAGCCTTCACCAATTATATTGTCTTGAGAGAAACTATTTGTTGCTGTTTGAAGAGTTGCAACTGTATAAGAACTAGTTGTTAAAGGAGATTTCACTCTCTTCATGGATCCATTTTTCCCTCTCTCAAATGTGGAGTTTTCAGTTATTGGAGGCTTCATATCCACAATGCTGCTGGTTGTTGGTTTTACCCTCTGCTCTTGTAATTCTGTATTAACTGCAAAAAAAAAAGGACAAAACTTTAAGATACCCAAAATCCATAGAGAGAGGTTACAAGGGCAAAAACGGAAAAAAGAGGAGAAAGTGACCTTTCTCGCTACTGATAGGTGTGGAAGTTCTTGTGACATTTTCTTTCTTTTTACCTTTTCGAAGGCAGAAAATAAGTGAAAGAATTATAAGAAGTATCAAGAATGCAGAACCCAAACTTATTCCCAAAATACCCCCAAGGCTTAGTTTCTTTCCGCTGCTTGTATTTGATGATGGCAGTTTAGATGCTGTAGGTGTGTGTGAAGGTGGAGAACGGGTGCGGTTATTTGGAGTTTTGCCAGGTGGCGGTGGGGTGAATGGTGGTGGAGGGGGGGCAGGGCCATTGTCAAATGAATTTCCACCATATCTGTAAAATTTAAAAACCTAAAGTAAATGAATATGATAAAATTATAAAAGTATAAAAACAAGATTTCATTTAACAAATGGCTTACACGAAAGAAGGAACAGACAAAAGCTCACGTGGTATCCATCCATTAAAATGGTTGTTTGCTATATTTCTGTAACAATAATAATTAATTAATTAATAAATAAATAAGATAAAAAGACACAAATAGTGCTATGATATATGAGATTTGAACTTACACATCAGTCAAAGGCAGACCAGATAGAGCATTTAAAGAACCTGTTAATTGATTATTCTGCACATGACTACCCATAAAACAAAAAGAATTATTAAAATTATTAAAAAAAAAATAATCATAATTTAGACATTTATTAAAGAGTAAGCCCTAAAAATGACTTACAATGTAGAAATGTTTGACAATGAGCTGAGGGAATTTGGTAAATCTCCAGTTAAGTTGTTGTTTGAAAGATCCCTTCATTAACATATAGAAAGTAAGAATATTCATAAACTTTGTGTAAAGAATAAAAGATAAAAGAGTTTTTTTCATGTGAATCTTTAAACTTACAATGTAGCAAGACTAGTGAGATTATTGAATATATCTCCAACAGTTTGAGTGAGTACATTGTGACTAAGGTTCCTGGAAGTCAAAAAACCATAGTGTTAAACATTCTGGAAAACATCAAGGGGCATAAGTGTCATTTTATTCTCTCACATGTAATTCAGATTAAACATCATGGCTATGGAATACGGGAGATTTCCAGTTAAATTGTTGTTTGCAAGATTTCTGCATCATTGAAAACGTGTATTAATTAGTTAGCATTAGAATGAAAATAATAAAGATTTTGTAGAAAGATTTTTATAAAGATTGAAAGATTACAGGCTAGTAAGATTTGGGGGTAACTGATATGGAAGTGCATCATGAATGTTGTTTCCACTTAAATCCCTAAAAGATAAACCACAAACATATCAGAGACTCATAAAGAAATAATCTTGTAGATTATCATTGGTGAAATTACATATATAACCCTCACAATGTTTTCAGTGAAGTGAGGCCAGACAACAAGTATCCCAGTGTCCCATCAATCCCTAAACCAGGTAGTTGACTATCAAAACAAATAAACAATGAAACAGTGATTAAAAGCTTAAAAAAAAAAAATGAAAAAGATAAAAGTTGTTTATAGAATTATAGCTAATAAGATTCATATCATTTAAAACTTTATGAAATTATTGAACTCACATGGAAATAACAGAAGTGCCATCACAGGTAACCCCTTTCCATGACTCACCACATGGGTCACCACTATTGCTTTTCCAATTTGTTAGCTGTGCAGCATTGTTTAAAGATGTGTACAAAACCTGTAATGCTTGAACTACAACAAAACAAAAACTTTAAAACCCCACAAAAACTAGCATTATTGATCCTCATTTTTACACCCAAATGACAAAAAGAATTTGCATATGTTAAATCAAACTATCAATCAACTTACATTGATTCAAGTATTTGAAGTTTTCATTGAAAATCAAGAAAGAAGATAGAGGTTTAGACTCTGTTTTTTTTTTCAGAACTATGTAAAGATAAAAAGAAGAGTTTTTAACTTTGGATATTACATAGGTTACTTTCCAACTACAACATTGACATGTATTGTGATTTATGAACTTCAAAGATAGATTAGTCAACTAGAGACATTTATAATCATAAATCTAACTTGCAACAAAATCAAAAGTTCTTTTGGAAAGAATCTTTGACTCATTGAATCACCCTGACCTGAATCGCTTTCATTAGTAGAGTGTTTGAAATAAAAAAATAAAAAATAAAAATCATTGTGTATTAATGTATAGATCTCTTTCTGGAAGCAGGGGAAATGAAAAGATTTGGTTATTAAAACTAGAAAATGGATAGGCCCCTAGAAGTAACCAAATGAAGAAAGCATAAACAAAACTAACCAAACATAAAACCATTACGCCATTATATCATTTTATCAAACAATTTACATGTAAATCACACTTACAGAGACCCTAGTAAGACACATTGTAACCAAAAATCAACCTCAAATCTCTCTCAATCTCATCTTAATGACTAAGGTAAACATGAAATTCCTTTTAAAACCAGTGATTCAATCTGTAACAGCTGAAACTTCAAAAATAATCAACTCAAAAGTACCAAATACTCGAGAATAAGACTAAAAATACCACATGAGAAACAATGTAAACAAGCGTGTGGAGTTACCGTCACTGGGATCAGTAGTGCCGTTAACAAAACTCAACGAAACGAAGATCACCGCAACGAACTTCAGTAGAAGAAACTGATCACACCGATTTGCCACCATTTTCGAGTGTTTTCAAGCAGTGATCATCAAATACAGTTTGACCTAGAAGAAGACATGCAGTCACAGAAGGGTTGTAATGAAGAAAAAGAGGTGGGTTTTGCCATTTAGAGAGAGAGAGAGAGAGAGAGAGAGATTCGAAGCTTGGTTTACAGAGTAATGAAGAGAGAGAAAGGGAGTGAGGTAGGAAGAACACACAGTGTAGGTGTCGGCGAAGAAACTCAAAAATAATTATTTTATTTGACACAAATAATAATGTTTGAATTGTCAAATAATTTAATAAAAAATACATTGAGTGTTTAACACATCAAAATAAAAGCTATTGTACTTTTTTATAAATAATAATAAAAAAATTATATCATATGCATATATATGCATGATTTATTAATTACTGTGGAAAGAATTTGACTGTTTAAGTAAATTAAATTGAAAGTTGAAAATAGCTATATTTTTTTATTCAAAAACTTTAAGTTTATTTAGGTTTTTAATGATAATATATAATATTTTTAAGTTAAATTCCCAGGTATAGGATTCAGAAATAGCAATGAAAACTTGTCAACACTCGACAAATATTGAGTCAAAGGATGATAAAAAAAAATAAATAAATAAATAAAATTAAAAAAAAAAAAGTACAATTGTCCTTATTAACTTTTTAAGGTAATAGAGTTTTTAGTAGAAAATCGTAACTTAAATCATGAAAAAATTACAATTTCATATGAAAATTCAATTTAATTATTTACAAATGGGTCATTATGCCTTTTTTTTTTGGGTTCTTATACGTTTTCTACTATAAATACAAGTGTTTTTTTTATTAAACCATGTAAATCCAGCATGGGTATAAAAGTAAATTTTCGCCTGTAGTAAATAAATTTATGTTATTTTACCATGCAACATTTAATAGATTTAGAATTTATTGGAATTTGAATTTATTTAATTAATGGTAAAAACAAATAAAAATATTGGGAATCTCCACTGAAAAAGTTGTCTTAAATTTGACAAGCAAAGTATATGAATAACCCATCTTCTCAGGTGTCTTTCCCTATCTATCTAAACATATCAAATTACTCCCATGTGATTCCTTAAATTCATTTCTTAACCCAAAAGTTTTGGGAATTGATTATCGTACCCACTTTCTGTGTAATGAATTCAAGTGATGCATGCCTTATATGTTCATAATTCGGATCCATCCAATAATGTACTTGATATTCGGTTGTAGTCTTAGGCTTGGTTCAAACAGTGGCACCTGGACAGTCATTCAGGTCCATGTTTTTAAGAGACCTAAAATTTTTAGAGTATATCGTATAATTACTTAAAGAAAAACATAATTTATCTAAAAATATTAGAAATATATTTTTTTTAAATTATTGTAATGTTGTGGCTATATTTGTATTTTTTTTTTAATATTAATAGTGAATTTTATAACGGTGTATTTATTTTCAATTTAATTTTTATTATATTTATGACTTTAGGGGATCTATTTTTTCTTTTCGCCATGGGCCTACTATATCTTTGGACCGGCCATGTGTAGTGGTGATGATTTTAGTGTCATCTGATATTTTGTGTAATTGGAACTGACATATGAGTTAAGGGGTTTGTTGTTTGTATTCTATGTTATATGTTTTGTGAATGTGAGATGCATAATTATATAAGATCGAATTATAAGCCGGTACGATAAAAAAAATGGGGGTCAAGGAGATCGTGCCCCCTTGTAGGGTCCTAAGGGCATTTCCCCTAGCGAGGTCCAAGGGGCGGAGCCCTTCGGAAATCTGAATTCGTTTCTTTATGGAAAATCCGAATTTTAATGGGTGATTATGGTAAAATTGACAATTCTCACTAGTTTTGGAAATCATTGATTATGTCATTAAATTTGAAATTCTTCTAACTAATTTAGAAAATTAACCCCTAATATGTCATGTATATATACAACTCTTTCTTTGAGTCGTAAACATAATTTTTTTCTCAACTCTTTTTTTTTTCTAAACGATCTCAAAATTCTCTAGCGATTTGGCTTGTGTTTCTAAAACACAGGCTTTTTTGGATTATCCTAGGCTGAATTTCATGTAACCAATACAAATGATGGAAATATCGGAAAGTAAACATACACAATCCATAATTAATCCAGATTTCTACAATCACCCTACTCGTATATCCTCCAACATGTAGTCTAGGTTTCAAGTAGAACCATATAATTAGCTAATTTAATAGTTTCATTTGTTGTTGTGATGTTTTAACAGGGATAAACATATTAATCGAATCAAAAGCAAATGAACTGAAATAGCTAAACCAATACTAAAGATACAATGCAGTTTGTAATTTTGATTAATTGAATATATATGGTTCAGTTATGGTTTTTATCTAAAAATGAACCACTATAAATCGAACCGAACCAATGATATTAATAAATATTTTTTAATATAATATAATATTTTTACATATGGTATGTAATTATAATGGGAGTTCAAAAGTTAAAGTGTAATTACTTTGAATTAGATTTTTTTAGAACAGCTAGTTAGTATATATTTGGAACTGAACTCAATACAATTATATATACATAAGCATTCATTTTTTATAGCAATGAACTTTATGTTTTTCAATTTTTATAGAAAAGTATTTTTATTTTTATGTCATTTTGGACCATTATGATCAACCAATATTAACCATTAATCATAGTCATTGAGTGACTAAAACCATTAACCAAAACCAATATTAATCACTACCGAATACATTAATCAATCGTAATGGTTATGTTTTGGTTTTGATCAATAACCAAACCGTCCTACACACATCTATGTTTTAAAATGATTCTATATAAAATATAAAAAATAGTAAATTGCATAATTTGTACGACTCGTGTCAAATATGTACCAATATTCATAATGTATAGGTAAATCGTGGAACATAAGCAATATTTTAAACATGCTAGCCCCTAATCCAAGGACCATATAACTTAAATATGTTTCATTTAGGCTGTCAACTACCTTAAAACTTACCTTAAATAGTTGTTTGTAGACATAGAGCTAAGATCATGTTTTAATAATTTAAATTATTGAGCTTCATATAGGTAAAGTGACTTTCCACAATGTAGAAATCAATTATAGTTTTATTACTTAGAAAATTTATCTATAATAAAAATTATCTCTAATCCAAAAGAATCGTGTTTTCATAATGAAAATGTTTTTTTGTTAATTAATTCAATTTAAATTGTTAATCCTAACCATCTCTTGATACATCACTTGGTAAGATATATGAAAGATGTGGCTGGTTAACCAATTGGCCCATGTTTAAAGCATTGGAACTAAATTTGAGAGGTGGCAAGGAGAATGGTTTGTGACACAACTCCATAGGGTTGCTTAGTATTATCGTCAAAAGTGAATCCAATCCTACGTTAACTTGAAATCAGGAAATCGTTGTAATCAGTTAGCCTAATGTTAAATGGTTAATCCAATAATCCCTTATTATTCTATATGAATTTTGGTACTTTAAAAGTACTTTTTTATATTCTTGCTATGGACCAAGAATTTGTTTTGGCTCGCCTTAGAGGTAGCTGTTAGTATGTTGCATTATGCATGCTTTTACGTCTGGAACAACTTCAATCATTATTTCAAAAAAAGTTCTTTTTTTTTTTTTAGATTTAAATTTATTTCAGCAAGTCCTATAATAGTAAGTTGCATATTATATGTAGTTTTTAGGATGTAAAATTTTGAAAATATATTTTAAAAAGCACTCATAACTTGTAACTAATAATCATTAGATAGTTTTAACATTGAAGCAAGTGATCAAATTGAGACATACAAATTAAGTTGCATTCATATAAAAAAGTGGAGTATGAGAATAGAGATTAAGAGAGTACGAGGGTGCAAAGTGATTATTTTTTAAGTATACTAACTAGATTTAGATTTCCCAATAGCCCAGGGCAGTAAATACAATATGTGTACACAGCCAATGGGACATGAGAGAATGACCAAGGTACCCTTTGCACTTGGTAAGTATTACAACCATTATCCTTGTCTTCACCATGCTAGGACCACCGACGGGAAGGGTGTTTAAGTAAATTACAAGGGCAGTGGAATGGGGCAGATGGAGCCAATATTAAAATGACCAAAAGCTCCTCGCGACTTATAAAAAGGCACTTTTTTCAAACATTTGACTTCGGAATTTTCTGTTTGGGAGGACACCTTTTTGTCCGGGGGGAAATTCATGAAAGTGACGATTTTACTTTAGAAAATATATATATATATATATATATATATATATATATATATATATATATATATATATATATATATATATATATATATATATATATATATATATATATATATATATATATATATATATAACCCAAAAGGGTACTCAAATGTATTTTCACATATATAACTATATTACTCTTCTTTTTGTATGCATCGGTCAAACCTTTAGTTAATTTTTCCTTTGGGTCATTTTCAATATAATTTTAGGGTTTCAACTATCAAGTATGCGTAAAGGTGGATAAGCTGTCACAAATTTATTTGTTCAAAATACGAATATAATTATGCTTGTAAAATGAATGAAATTTACTAAACAAAATAAAATATAAAGATTTTTGGAATATCGAAAATCTAAGTATGTACTTTGGTTGATATGAAATAAAATTGAATTTTTTGTTTCTGGGTGTTTGCTAGTTGGCAAAACCGTCTCAATGAATTCGAATTTAAATTATATAATATAACAAAAATAACATTTCTTATTTTCTACAAGCTTTATTTCTATAAAGCACACACAAATACCTAAAAAGCATGTAAGTACATAGTTAATATTTGATGGTGAGATGTTTAAGCTTTTCTAAAAATTTTAAAAATATATATCCATATCATTTTTGAAACTCACAAAATACTCTTTCCTCTTGCCCTTTCGTATCTCTTTGAGCCATTTAATGTTTATCACCCACATATAAATTCAAAAATTTTTGTTAAGAATTGAAAAAGAATAGTTAAATATAAAAAAAACCCAATATGTATAGAGATGGCAAAAATACACATACGCGATATTATGTTCGATACCTAATATCCAAATTGATCGAGGATAAGGATAAGTATACCATTCGACTCTCCAAACACGAACCTCAAATTGGACATGCAATATATATATATATATATATATACACACACAAAATAAATAGAAATTTCAAGAGCCTATCTATACACATCATGCAGTAATACGATGTCAATCATTTAATTTGTATGAAATAAAATTTAAACA